AAGATATAAGAGAAAGGGAAAGCGAAAAGATATAAAAAGAAGGGAATATAGCAACAACAACAATAATAGTAATGAGAAGAAGAAAAAGAAGAGGAAAAAGAAGAAGATATAAGAGAAAGGAATAGATATAAAAAGAACGGGATATAACAACAACAACAATAAGAAGAAGAAGAAAAAGAAAAAGAAGAGCAAAAAGAAGAAGATATAAGAGAATATAGCAACAACAATAATAATAAGGTGAAAAAGAAAATATAAAAGAAGTCGAGAGGGAAAAACGGAACAGATATAAAAAGAAGAAAATATAGCAACACCAATAATAATAATGAGAATAATTAGAAAAAGATGAAGAAGAAGAAGAAGACATACGAGAAGCGAAGAAGGAAAAGATTTTCAAATGGAATAAACAGAAAAACAACAACAATACTACTACTCCTACTACTAATGCCCTCATCAGACTGCGTGTAATGAGGTGTATAATAAGTTTCGTATCTCGTATGTATCCCAGCATCCCTTTGTTGGCTTGCTGCTCTCTCTCTCTCTCTCTCTCTCTCTCTCTCTCTCTCTCTCTCTCTCACTCACTCACTCAAGAAAATGACACGAGAAAGGAAGAAGGAAAGCAGTTTGCCAATAGAAAGAGATATAAGATGTAGGAATAATAATTTTCATCAAATATGCCGTCACCCGCCGGCGCCATAGAATATTGTAGAATATAATATTAAATCTAGCCATTTCGACCAGAGAGGATAAAAGAAGAAAATTGGGCGAGCAAAATGGTCGACTGAATAGCGAACCAGTTGGACATGCACAGACCAGAATCTGTCCTAAATGAAAAATGGAGCACATGAAGTCTTCTGGGATTCAAACAGATCGGGCAGTCCAAGCCAAAAGACCCGGATCTGGCATTCGTCCACAAGAAGAAAAGCGTATGCGATATTGTGGATTTCGTTGTTCCAGCAGATCAGAGTTAATCTTAAATAAAGTGAAAAAAAAATGGATAAGTGTCTCGAGCTTGCCAGATAACTAAAGATGCTGTGGAGCGTTAATGTGGCAGTCCTGCCAGTCGTTATCGGAGTACTGGTAGCGGTCCCGAAGAGTCAATGAAAGACTAGAAAAATATAGAAGTCACGAACGAAAGATGAATCCATCGCCACCATGGCGGTGTTGAAAATAAATCGGATACTAAAAAGAGAATTGCCGTGTGGAGGGAGCTTGTTGCTATTTAATTAACCGGATGTGGTTCTCGCCATGGAACGCGAAATTGGACTGTCGAGTTCGAATCCAAGCCGGGGCCACTGCGTTCGGCTTTGCACAAATACGCGCGTTTGAAAAATAGGTAAATGGGGTTACTAGCATGGTAGGCTATGCTGTCTAGCCTTAGTTGTTGGCAACCAATCTGGGAGAAAGAAACCTTTGCGTTCAAAATCGGTTTAGCGCGGTTTCAGCAATTCCAACCCGTAAAAATTTACAAAACCTATAGCAGATTATGGCCCCATACTCTACAGGGAAGTCTACAAGTTTAACATTCATTGCCGTCACTTTTATTTTGTAAGCCGCCAGTTACAACGTGCGGGAACGCACAATGGGTGAATACTGCTACTACTAATACTACTACTACTACTAATAATAATAATAATAATAATAACACCTTACGAAAGACTTTATCTGTGTAAAATATGTTTTTTTGTTTTTTTTTAATTGTTCAGTGAAAAATATCATGACGTCATTTCTGACCTTAAAGGCCCGTAAAGAAATGAGTACACATTAGAAATCAAAAGAAATAATAATAATAATAATAATACCCAGAGATATAACAAGGTAGCGATACATGTGCACTGGAAGATATGCAAGAAGCACAAAATCGAAACCACTGAGAGATGGTATGAGCATCAACCAGACACAGTTACCCAAAATTACGATGTAACTATCCTCAGGGGCATGCCAATTCAAACTGACAGGGAAATAACAGCCAACAGAGTTAATATCCTAAAAGAAAAGGAATTCAGGAAGTGTATGCTCATTGACATAGCAGTACCATCTGAGAGAAACACCTCTATGAAAATTATCGAGAAATTGTCCAAATACAAGGACCTGCAGATCGAAATTAACAAAAAAGGAATTGCCAATTTTCCTAACAGTGTCCCAGGTAACATCAACATACAGGTTTCCCAGTAGATCGCCCTACTAGGAACACCCCATATCTTAAGAAAAATGCTATCACTTAAATAATGATTCTCCTACAGGGCCTAAGGACCATAGTTTGGACCCGGCTCTACGAATTACAAAGCAGGCAACATGACATACACAAATAATAATAAAAATAATAATAATAACTTCTCCGGGAAGGAAACTGAAAGAAACTGGTATGAACACCATCCAGACCCGGTTACGGAGATAGGACCTGTTACAATTCTATGGGACTACACAATACACACTGACAGAACAATCAAAGCCAACCACCCGGATATTGTTATTAGAGACCACAAACAAAAAAAAAATGCCTCCTTATTGATATGGCAGTCCCTGCAGACTGCAATGTACCTTTGAAGATATTCAAAAAGCTGTCAAAATACAAGGAACTTGAAATAGAAATCTCGAAAATGTGGCATATGGGAACATCAACATTCCCTGTTGTAGTTGGAGTCCTAGGATTGGTTGGAAAAGATTCCAGTAGACTAATTGAAGGGATTCCTGGAAGTCCATGCCTCGAGGAGATATAAAAAATTGTTCTGACAAGTACAACCCACACTTTACGAAGGGCTTTATCTATGTAATTTTTTTATTTTTATTTTATTTTATTTTTTTTTTTTTTGTCAATGGAAAGTGTCATGCTGCCATTTCTAAGCTTAGGCCCCTGGGCGGGACCCGGAAAGAAATGTGTAAACGCCAGAAATCAAAGAAAATAATAATAATAATAATAATAAAACTCTATAATAATTAAGAATAATGAATTCCATTTATTTATTTCTTCCTAATTGGCTCCAAAAAGGAAATAAAATACAATTAAATTCGTAAAACAATATTCAACACGACTAATGTTGTCCGTAACTCATCTCTTTCTGTTATAATTTCTATTTAACTAAAGTTGTTTTTTTGGGTTTTTTTTTTCTTTTCAAAAACAAATATAACTTGAATTTGGGTGGGTGGGTCATCGTTATTTTCCACACTTCCCTTCAATTGTTGCACAGAAATAAAATTATTCTTTCATTAATCAAAAATTACTTACAAAATAATACATATTGCTTATAATACATTCGTTCTTGCCGTCAATTTTGACAGCACACTAGTAAAGGGTGTTCCAATAACTTGGACTGATTTTAAATGTGAATTAAGTTTAAGCATCTTATGATTTTTTTGATTTTTTTTTTTTTTCACATTTAAAAACTTAAGTCTTTGGCAATTTGGACCATGGAAAGATTAACAATCAAACAACGTGTTAAAATTTCTTCCTAATTTCAATAATGTACAGCTGGATATTTTTTTCAAAAATATTATTGCTGGTAATAATTATTTACAAAATATTTCTGGTATTAAAACCTATTTTTACACTTTGCATGGTGTTTTGAACCCAGTTTGGGGGTTAACTACCCATAGTTGGAACCCTAACAGGTGCTACCACCCCAGCAATGGAGAGTTAGTTCCACGCTCCTAAAAACTTTCTGATCAGAGGCCTTGCTGTTGGACGTAGTTTATCGTCATACCCAGGAGGCGGATGTAGTTTATCGTCATACCCAGGAGGCGGACGTAGTTTATCATCATACCCAGGACGCGGATGTAGGTTATCTTCATACCCAGGAGGCGGATGTAGTTTATCATCATACCCAGGAGGCGGACGTAGTTTATCATCATACCCAGGACGCGGATGTAGGTTATCTTCATACCCAGGACGCAGATGTAGGTTATCGTCATACCCAGGAGGCGGACGTAGTTCATCATCATACCCAGGACGCGGATGTAGGTTATCTTCATACCCAGGAGGCGGACGTTGTTTATCGTCATATCCAGGAGGCGGACGTAGTTTATCATCATACCCAGGAGGCGGACGTTGTTTATCGTCATATCCAGGAGGCGGACGTAGTTTATCATCATACCCAGGACGCAGATGTAGGTTATCGTCATACCCAGGAGGCGGACGTAGTTTATCATCATACCCAGGAGGCGGATGTAGTTTATCGTCATACCCAGGAGGCGGATGTAGTCTATCGTCTTATCCTGGACGCGGATGTAATTTATCATCATACTGAGGATGCGGATGTAGATTGTCGACTTACTTCTGAGCAGAGGCTTTGCTGCTGGATGTAGTTTATCGTCTTACCCAGGACGGCAGAACTTTCGGTATTCTGAAGTAATTTCCATATCAAAATGCTATCTAATTCTTTCTATCCCTTTAATATTTCTAGAAATTACATTTGCTCTTCTTGCTATTTAAATTAAATTTTTCCGCATCCACTTTCAATTTCGCAAAAGTGTGTGAAGTGCTTTTATTCAAAAAATATGCTGATGCTGTCTTTCAAATTTTCGTCCAAATAACATCACATTGGTTCCGTACATAAATTAATGCTTTCTTTGCCTAAAATCAATGGGTCGACCTATACACAAGATCAACTCGTCCAGCACTCAATAAGGTAATCTATAGAATTTTATTTTAACAGGCAAGACTGACGTGAGGGGGAGATATTTAGTCTGAAACGATTACTGCAATGTCACCTTTCTCCTTATCAGTTCGTTACTTTCTTTCATTTTCCATTTTTTCCGTCTTCTCCCACTCCTCTCTCTCTCTCTTCTCTCTCTCTCTCTCTGTCTCTCCATGTCTTCTTTCTCCTCTTCATCCATTACCCTTAATTCCTTCCTTTCTTTCCTTTTTGACTTTGTTTCTTTCTTTCTCACACCCTTCCTCTCCGCCGCCATTATTCTCCTCTCGACTTGATAACATTATTCAAAATGGCGTCTCCTTATTGACGCAGAAAGATTTCTCTGCCCGAAAAGAGAACCGAATTGACAAACTAGGAATTAAATAAGAAACTATTTTTGTATGGGTGCACATCAAGTAGACATGTAGTCGCGGAACATGTTACAATCCAAGTTTTATGTAACCTGGAGACAAGACTGAAAAAATAGATAGATAGATAGATAATGAACAGACTATGATAGATAGATAGATATGAACAGACTGAGATAGATAGATAGATAGATAGATAGATAGATAGATAGATAGATAGATAGATATGAATAGACTTAGATAGATAAATAGATAGATATTGAACAGACTATGATAGATAGATAGATAGATAGATAGATAGATAGATAGATAGATAGATAGATAATGAACAGACCGTGATAGATAGATAGATAAATAGATAGATAATGAACAGACTGAGATAGATAGATAGATAGATAGATAGATAGATAGATAGATAGATAGATAGATAGATTATTCCAACTCAGAGAAATCTCTTGAAATTCCTCGAAGCTGACCGAGAATATTCTGCCAGTCTGTGGTCAACGATTATCGACTATTTCTGGCTTGTGGTCACTATTGACCGTAATGAAGACTTTTAAAGACAGATTTTATAAATGAACCCACTGAGTAGACAGCCCATCGACCACTTTCATTGACAGGAATTTTAGAAGGCTCCAGGGCTGATTATCTTCAATTCTGTCGTCTGTTGCGAAAACTAATCCCAACAGTGAAGACACCATGACGTTATATTAATGACCCCTAAATCCTATTTCTTTCCTTTTTTGTAATTTTGTTTTTTTAGTAGACAGTTATTGTTCGATATATGCTTAAAGTTAGTGTGAAGTGAGAATAAAGTGGAAGCTTTCGTCATATTTGCGCTGTATATGCTTAGAAAATTCTCCTACGTGTACGGCACATTTATCTATACAGCCACAGAAGGCTGTGATAGGATCGTATCCAAATTTACAATCAGATGACTTCTCGGCCTCCAGACCTTCACACCATGTGATTTCTCGTCTGGCTGGGGTTTCTATTTTACTCCAACGAGAAGTTGCATAATTTCTACTCAAACCACTCTTCTAAAATTAAATCTGGAATTATTATAGGTTTCTATCTAAGAGCATTAAGAATCTGCAGCCCCCAATATTTACTTAAAGAAGAAACATACACAGAAAACACATTCAAAAACCTACAATACACATATCATTTCATCCACAACCCAAGAAGAAAGGCATACAAAATATACAACCGAAACAAAACTAATAACATAATCCGCAATAATAAATTACATGAAAACAGATGCATAACACTATCGACCAACTCTGTCACGTGCACATTCCAGAATAACTTATCCATCTAAATAATCTTAAAATAATCACAAACACTTCCAAAACCATTATGGATATAATCAGATCTTCAGACACTAATAGCAATAATATTTCTGAAGCAGGCATTTATAAAATAAATTGCCAAAACTGTTCCTCTAAATATATTGGAGAAACAAGTAGAAATTTAAAAAGACGCATTTATAAACACAAAAGAGACCTCACAAAAAATCAACTTAGCTAATGTACTAGTCATACATAGAAATAAATCCAACCATGATTTTGATTTTAAAAATGTTACACTCATAAAAAAAGAAAATAACTCACTCAGAATGAAAATCCTCAAGAGTGCTGCCATTGAATATTACCCAAATATTAATCTACAACCAAGCCTTTCCCTATTTCACCTTTCTTAACAGAATTACTACTCTCCCAAGCAAATGTACACAACAGTATCAAAAAATCAAAAGAAAATGGTTGAATCCGTCAACACAGCAATAATAACAATATCTCCACACGTGACAGTAAATGACGTAATTTCAGTTAACAGTATGAAAATAGCATTCTCTAAATTCTTCCAGTTCCTAAGGACATTTTGTTTTGTTATTATTAGTTACTTTGTTTAATAAATTCATTTCGTTTTTGCCTTGAAAATGTCCACATTGGAAGAAACGCGTCGGCTAACATTATAGTTTTCCTATTGTCTTTTACGTTTATAAATAATTCAATAAGTTAGACGACATTTGTCATTTTTCTCATGTAACAGAATAGACACTGAACTCAAAATTCCGACCAGACATTTAAAAAGAAAAAAAAATTCCGTGCACCAGAGACTTTGGTCAGTCCCAACTACGGAATGTAAAAATATCTGACGTCATACCTGCACCCGCTATTGCAAACGAGAAGGTTGGACAGATGGCTATATAAATAGCAGACATAGATTGTTTTTGGGAAGTCTCTCACACATCGGAGAATGTAGGGTCCACGTTCGTATGCCACATCATCATTCGTCCCATGGCTGGGGTCATAGTGCCGGTATGCAGCTGAGCACTTGACTAGTCAAAAAATTGTTGATTTATTAAAGATAGAGTGATCTATTATGGCATGTCTCTAATTTGTATTTTCATGCATTGTATTTATTTTCAATTTTTCTGGTTGAATTGTTCACCTATATTGCAGATGGTACATTATTATACATCATTAGGTTACAATAAAGTTTGTATTTTACATGAACACTGCATTATGAAAATTAAGATGTAATAGAGTGGGGACCCCATATCATAGATTGGCGGGGGCGTATCTCACAATCCCCACGCGGATGAAGAGGAGACTTGAGGGAGAGAAATGTGGTTCTGCAAGAGGAGGATGAGGATACCATAGACCGAACATATACGCAAAAACGAAGTTTTACAGAAAATGGAAACACGAAGTAAACTTATATTTTAACACCAGGATATTTCATATTTATAGCGCAAATAATGAGGAAAGAGGGATTGGAAAATTTGATACTCACAGGAGAGAGTGAAGGCGAGAGAAAAGGAGGAAAACAATGCATCAAGAAATTTGTGGAGAGCCATGATCGCCTACATCCTGAAAGGACCCAGTACATAGAAGAAGAAGGACGAACTTGTGTAAATGGCTGGTGGAATGAGGTTTAAGTGAGATAACAAAAAGACAAAATTTATTAAGAGCTACAAAGGAGAGGAAATTGTGGAGAGCCATGATCGCCTACATCCTGAAAGGGCCCAGTACATAGAAGAAGAAGGACAAACTTGTGTAAATGGCTGGTGGAATGAGGTTTAAGAGATAATAAGAAAAAGACAAAATTTATTAAGAGCTACAAAGGACAGGAAATTGTGGAGAGCCATGATCGCCTACATCCTGAAGGGACCCAGTACATAGAAGAAGAAGTAGAAGAAAAATTGAAGGTAATGGACTCAAAAGAGAAGTTCTCCTAACACACAGGCTGTTGGAAATTTATTTCTGCTATACGATAAATTTGACAGGGTCAGCTGATGGTCACGTGTCCCGTAAAAGGAAAGGCAAAAACCAGGATGTGGCGTGATTATTTCATTGGTCCGTATATTGAGCAATGCGAACCGGTCATAATGACCAAATGTCGAAACCATCTGACATGGGATTTAAAAACTCCAACAATACACTACGAATGCTTCTGTCAGCTCGTGGTCATGTGTTCAGTCCTTAGATCATGTAGTGAAGCAATATACAGTGGAATGTTTAAATTCTTCTCTCTCTCTCTCTCTCTCTCTCTCTCTCTCTCTCTCTCTCTCTCTCTCTCTAGTGGTATACACATTCTGATATTTACCTGGCACAGGGATCCGTCCCTGCGCTGGTGGTATCACAGCTTGGACTAGCTTGAACAAGCTATGACCAGCTAAGACCAGCGGCCCGAATGAAGCCACTCCGGTCCTCACGTTAAAAACTGACCTTGTGTCGCAACCTCACTCAATGGGTGCCGGTCAAGTAAATACATACAGTGGAACCGCAATTTAACGGACTGATAGGAGTGATCGTCCGTTAATTTGAAGCAATTTTTTTTTACGGCCAAGAACACCCAGTACAGTACAAAATAATTCTAATTAAATGTAAATACAGTATATATGTATGTGTATTTAATTTTTAAGTAAATATATACCTTTAAATAAAGTTTGCAAAATTTTGAAGTTTACCTAAACATACGTTTAAACATTGCTGTGATAATTTGGTTTGGTTTGTTTTACGGCATATCAACCTCAATGGGTTATTTACTGCCGACAATATTTTTAGGATAGATTCGTATGAATAGAATATGTATTCTTTGGTTTAGATTGGTTTGGTTTATTTTGTTTTACAGCATATCAACCTCAATGGGTTATTTGATGTCGACAACATTTTTAGGATAGGTTCGTATGAATAGAATATGTATTCTTTAGATTAGATTGGTTTGGTTTATTTTGTTTTACGGCATATCAACCTCAATGGGTTATTTAATGCCGACAACATTTTTAGGATAGATTCGTATGAATAGAATATGTATTCTTTGAATTAGATTGGTTTGGTTTATTTTGTTTTACGGCATATCAACCTCAATGGGTTATTTAATGCCAACAACATTTTTAGGATAGATTCGTATGAATAGAATATGTATTCTTTGAATTAGATTGGTTTGGTTTATTTTGTTTTACGGCATATCAACCTCAATGGGTTATTTAATGCCGACAATATTTTTAGGATAGATTCGTATGAATAGAATATGTATTCTTTGGTTTAGATTGGTTTGGTTTATTTTGTTTTACGGCATATCAACCTCAATGGGTTATTTAATGCCGACAACATTTTTAGGATAGATTCGTATGAATAGAATATGTATTCTTTGGTTTAGATTGGTTTGGTTTATTTTGTTTTACGGCATATCAACCTCAATGGGTTATTTAATGCCGACAACATTTTTAGGATAGATTCGTATGAATAGAATATGTATTCTTTGAATTAGATTGGTTTGGTTTATTTTGTTTTACGGCATATCAACCTCAATGGGTTATTTAATGCCAACAACATTTTTAGGATAGATTCATTATGAATAGAATATGTATTCTTTGAATTAGATTGGTTTGGTTTATTTTGTTTTACGGCATATCAACCTCAATGGGTTATTTAATGCCGACAATATTTTAGGATAGATTCGTATGAATAGAATATGTATTCTTTGGTTTAGATTGGTTTGGTTTATTTTGTTTTACGGCATATCAACCTCAATGGGTTATTTAATGCCGACAACATTTTAGGATAGATTCGTATGAATAGAATATGTATTCTTTGGTTTAGATTGGTTTGGTTTATTTTGTTTTACGGCATATCAACCTCAATGGGTTATTTAATGCCGACAACATTTTTAGGATAGGTTCGTATGAATAGAATATGTATTCTTTGGATGAGATTGGTTTGGTTTATTTTGTTTAACGGCATATCAACCTCAATGGGTTATTTAATGCCGACAACATTTTTAGGATAGATTCGTATGAATAGAATATGTATGCTTTGAATTAGATTGGTTTGGTTTATTTTGTTTTACGGCATATCAACCTCAATGGGTTATTTAATGCCAACAACATTTTTAGGATAGATTCGTATGAATAGAATATGTATTCTTTGAATTAGATTGGTTTGGTTTATTTTTGTTTTACG